TAGTCAGGAAGGAGTGCTAATTCTCAGACTAATAAAATTAGGTTGAGAATTTTGAGATACGATGTCCATAATTTCTCACACCTCCGTTCACGGGGTTTCAAAAGCTTCTTAAACACTTTTACAGTCTCGAAGTCTATTGAAGTCTCGTGAAGTCTCATGAAGTCTGGTGAAGTCTCATTAAGTCTCATGAAGTCTCGTGAAGTCTTATGAAGTCTTATGAAGTCTTATGAAATCTTCTGAAGTCTTTAGAAGTCTTTGAAAAATTTGAAGTCTCTATGCTTGAAGTCTCTTGAAGTCTCGTGAAGTCTTTTGAAGTCTTGAAGTCAGCTGTTTCCCCCTTGGGTAATCCATCATCAGAAGAAAAGTTTGTTGATCTAGACTATTTTGACTCCCAGTTGAAAAACGTTAGTTATTCTATTAAAGATAACATTATATTTTTGAGTTAGTTGTTAAATTATCTTTCAATATGTTTTACCAGCCACTGACACAACTTATCATTGCAAAATCTACAAAGCGCCAAACAATATATTTCATTTTTATTTAAATACATCTGAAAAGTCTATTTTTTTAAGCATAAAACAATAATTGACTCAAATTATCGAGATCTTGTTCATCATTTATTGACGTATGAATGTAATCCTACAACTGTGTTCGACGATAACAATTAATCAGACGGTTTATGTGATAAAATTATACACAAAATTACTGCATGTATTTCAAATATAGCCAGTAGATGGACTTTTGGTGGTGATGATGTAAGTTTTCTAAATTTAAATATCTACTCGAAAAAAAAATGATTCTTGTTTTCATACATAGTAGAGTTTCCAGCGATTAGTGGATATTCAGTAGGTGGTGATTTCGAAATAAAATATAATATGGTTCAAATGCATTATGATAATCCAAAGCAAATACCTAGTATCGAATGTTATTAATTAAATGTAGATAATAAGAAATCTTGTCATTTTTTATTTGATTTAGATCGTCGCGATAGTTTAGGCATTCGATTTTATCTTAGAAAAGAACGTCGTCAATATGATCTGGATTATCTTACACATGGTAGAGATTCAAGTTATTTTGCTATTACTATTCCACCAGAAACTGATCGATTTATAGTTGTTATTATTTCAATTATCAATTTAAAAATCGTCTACCAAAACCAATTCGTTTGTATACAGTATAGTTTTTTTTTTCTATTCAATTTTTTTCTTCTTTTTTTCTATTATTATATTTGTTTTAGGGTGATGAATTGGCTACTCGATTGGTTTTAGAAATATGAATATTTAGGGTGATGAAAAAACAAAAAATAAAATATACCTGCATATGTTTGTTTATTATCCTCATATGAGCAATTTATATGGTTGTATAACATTTAATTCTACAAAAGTATGAGAAAAATTAATGAATAGTTCTGCGTAAGTCTCTATGTCTATAATTGATGTTCCACGTGTCGTTATGTCTGGTTGTGCAGACAATTTTAACTTTATAAATTTGACTAAATTACCAGAATATGAAGATTTCAAATCATCAGAATCTAAAAGAAGCATTTCAAATTCGGCTATTTATCGAAACTCATTTATTCTTTTTATATTTATTTCGTTATTTTTTACAACAATAATATAGAGCTATTTTCCATAAATGAAAATTGTAGAAATAAAACTAATATTTATGAAAAGAAGCGACTATTTTCGAATATAATTACGCTTGAAATGTTGTTAATTATAAACTCTTCATATCAATCACTGAACAAGTGCGTTATCGGGTTATTTTCCACCATAAAAAGTCGGAAATATCTATTTGGTGATTAACAACTAAGATACTTTTGTTTTTTTATCAAATCAATGTTGTATATTTAAAATGAGGATTTGTAATAGTCTTCATGCTGTGAAGACCACAAACAAAATTTCGAATTTTCAAACATAAAAAACTGGCTTTTGCAAGAAAGTTGATGTCTTGGTATCCGAAAGTGTTGCATTTGTGTGTTTTATTAATGGGACACGAATTTCAATATTTTAATTGACCAGTTTCGAAAATTTCCTCTGTGTACATCAGTGCAGAACCATTCATAAAGTTCCTTTTGACTTGTTCTTATTGTTCTCTTATAAGATAACTAAAAATTATCAATACAACGCTATACATGTATTTGTTTTTAGCTGATAACTGGTGAAATTGTTTCACAGCACATAGAATAATACTTAACACTGGTGTTTGCTTACTTTATCAGTATAAAAAGAAAAAAACTTTGAATGAATATCTACCACTAACTAAAACATCAGCCCATTTTATTGAACCAATACGGAGATATTTCAGTTTTCGTATCATAATGGTATTTAAGAGCTTATCTATAATACTTCCGATGATCCTGTTTGATTGTAATGTTTGAATCTACGACTATAACTACCTCTTGACGTGTATACCACCGTCGTTTATCATCGTGATCATACATATTTTTGATGAACATTGTATCAATTTAAGAACATTTATTTTCTAGTCGAGAAAAAAGAAATGATCTGTTGGTCACAAAGAATATTCAACTCCAGTGTTACGTTCTATTCGAGACATGTTTCGAATTGAAGAAATTTACTATTTGCAAATTATATTAATATTAATGTATGTTGATGAAAAAAGTATATGAAGAGTATAGCTGTGGGCGACGTAAGTTTGGATTTTCTCTATATCATCACTCACATCCATATCTCACTCTCAATGGACTAATATTTAAATATTTATAGATTTTTTTTTATTGTTGTTTTAAAATAGAATAAAAATATTTATTGTCGTGATAGTTTTAATTTTAATTTTGTTTATTTAACGATAATAATGAGAGCAGAAACAAAATTAAGATTAAACGGTACGATGAAATGAATCATGCTCACTAAGATATGACAAGAGTTCAACGATGTTCATTCTTCAATGTTACAATACATCACGTGCATTCCTCTTGTACATCATCGATTGGACGACGATATATATTGAATCATGCAAAGTCGATTAGGTGAAACGAGTCCAGATATTGGTGTTTTTTACGTACGCTAGTCATGTATCATCGACGTTTGATTAGAACATTAATCTCAATGCGATTCATTTCATGTTTCAACCATTCGTGATGGACATTTTAGTAATGGAAAATGTAAGGAGTGGCGATTCCATTGTTGTACGTGCATGTCACTTATAGTAGGCAACAATTGACGCGATGCATTGTCTAATTGACATTATATGAGACATTCAATGTTCAAAAGATAGATTGCTCTTTCTTCAATTCATCAATCAATGTTACTTGATTCATTGTTACCCAATATATTGTTCTATCTGTTCTCACTCGAAGTGAACAATAGTAGTTTGCTGAGATCTTGTCGTTTTACTATTCTGTGAGAAGAAGATCAAGCTATTTCTTTCAAGTAATCATGATATGATTAAACAAATTGAATCAATCAACTTGCTTGAAACTTTGTCGAAATATACAGAAACAACAGCTTTCTTTCATATTCTACATCAGTTTGAAGTTTCACTTTTGCTGGTATCTTCATCGTCTGGTAATGGTACTAATAGAATAAACTTTGAACAACAGATTAGATCTGTTTCCTTTGTTTTGGTTATTGAATAAAAATTGAATATTAAGTGGAATTTCTCCTATTTTAAGGGATTATATGGGTTTCTGATTGCGTAAGGATGAAACTGGTCGAGATTGCTCCTTTACTCACTCCTCACCTGCATTCTCTCTCTCAAAAAAATAAGAAATTGGAAGAGATCAGCAACGAAACACAATACAAATATTGTTTTTCTTTGTCCATTCTACTACCGTAATTTAAAATGAGATTTTTTCCAGTCCTACATTGTGATACGGAAAAGTAGAAAACAATAATAGAAGTGAAATTGACATAATGCATCTTGCAAATAGAAGCAGAAATCTGTGTCAAGTATGTATATATCGTGATTTTTTCGCTAAAAACGCGAACAAAAATGTTGAAGAATATGTTGTACAACGTACGTTTTATTTGTATTAAAATGCTTTTTTCCGTACGAAAGTTTTTTTTCTTTATTTGTCTATACATATTAATTATTTTATCATATTTAGATTATTCTATTACACATCTCTTAATAAGTTCTTAGCTAAAAATTCTAAAGATTCCGAGAAACATATATAGTCTCTAGTATTGCAAAAGTCGAATTATGGTTGTCATTACAAATGCTCTTTTTATTGGTTTTGACTTAATCTTTGGTTCAATCATAATGAGCTACTTGTGTATGTCAAATATGCTTCATTATTTTCAATATTAACTACTATATATCTTTTCAGAGACCTTTAGAATCTTCAGCAAAGAAATTACTGAAAGAAAACGAAAATATGACTTACATACTGCCTAAAATTTGAATCGGAGCGATCCAGATAGCCATCATTACGATCAGAGTATAGGTATCACGGACTTAAGATAATTCGAAAATGATTTTGGGATAATCACTCAAGTATATAGGGTGTCCAGTAAGTAA